AAATATTAATCCATATCATTGAACAGCTGGGACAGGAGTAAAATAATAAAAAATTTTGTCAATAAATGTTGTTAGTCTGACTAAAAGACAGGTTTAATCACTGTAACAACACCTACATGATGCAATATAGTGACAACCTACATTGTATTGAATTATGACATATCACACAGAGAACAGCTGTCATATGTAGAAATAGCTGACTCAAACAATACATACATTAATCACTGACTCGTGCTTATGATATCTTACCACGCAGCAGCACCACACCTAAAAATAAAAGTGGGTTAAACAAATAAGTCTCAGCCTTTATCCCCGCTCCCGACCTGACTCACTGAAACAACACCCTCGTCCTCAAAAGTGAAACCTTTTAAAAGTAAAGTTTGCAAGAAAACAATGACGTATATCAGACTCACGAGTGACAGTAACGTCAGAGCTTTCCACTTGACCCAGTTTGCAAATGTGGTGCATATGAAGGCACCGCACTCCCCTGATTAATCTGCACATTTAGCTGCAATATCATGTTATTATTATAATATAATATGGACAAAAAGTGACTCTCCAAAGCAAAGTTCTTACAATATAGAAATGAACATGTTCAATCATGTCTCAAACATTCAAACAAAAGAAAAAATATTCAGATATCTTAATATCTAAATAATTATGTTGCATTAGGGAAAATGAAAGTGAAGGACAATAATGTAAAGTATACTGCATATTATTTGGGTTAATATGGATTATGTATATGGTTAATGTTACATTAAAGAGTAAAAATCATTAGTCAATTAATCAATCAACAGAAAATTTTGATAACAAAAATAATCATTTTAGTTTTGGTATGTAATTCCAAAAATATAGTTCCTCAAAATGTGAGGATCAAATCTGATGCTTCTCTTGGGACATAATGGGTGTTTGTCATTTTTTTTTAATAGAAAAAAGCAATTAATTGAGAAAATAATCCGCAGACCACACGCATTCCCCATTCACTAATGAAAATAACTGAGTTGCAGCCTTAGTTAAAACATGTATAAACATAGGAACCTTTCAGTGAGCCAGTAAGTAAGTAAGTAGCCAGTAACTGACAGGCAGCTATCCAAATGTCTGTGGCCAGATTCAGATGCAGGCTGGAGCTGAAAATGCCAGTCATCAGAGGTTTCTACACTGCACAAAATGACCATCTGAACTTATTAAATCCATACATAGTTCAATTAAATGGACTTATCTGTGGACAATCACAACAGTATCAATAAATTCCTACAAACAAGTGATAAACTCTGTCTTTATCAGTCACTTGTGAACCACTGGAAAACTCACTACCACGTGAATATATCATCATGGGCACTTTTTGCAGTGTAATCAAGCCGACCCTTGTAGACATTTGATGCTCCAGCTCTAACTGCGACATCGCTCCGTCTGCTGAGATGAAAGTCACAATGAAAATGTCAAGTCACTGATCTAGCAGTGTGTTGCGACGCAGCTGGCCCGACCTCTCTCCTTCTGTACCCAGACATGTCGGGGTGATGCGCCTGAAAATAGCTAGGTGCTCGCCACTGAATCCTGGACTATTGCGTCAACCCTCACTTTATGTGGTTTTCTAATGCTGAAGGTAAATTTCTCTGCAGGCAAAGATCATTATGTTCACATTTAATAACATCTGCCAAAAGCCCTTTTCAAACACAGATACAGGCCAACTGCACAGAGTAATGGATATACCTGTACAATACACTGAATATATTGATACATGGTAATGTGATATCATTTTGCCTATTTTTTATTTTATGATTATGTAAAATAAATATACTATATATACACACACACACACACACATATATATATATATATATATATATATGTATATACAAATATGGTCAAAATGTTTTCTTTCACAGACTGACGTGATATACAATACATGTGGTAATAGATGATTATCAAGTGATATATGATGCACTGGGTTCTTAACAAGGCAGAACAAGACGAACATTGAGTCTCTGCTGCTGAAACCTTTTACATAAACAGTCCATGATGTTTTGCCGTTACTATCTTGTGAATATCTCTGCTGTGACGCACTGAATTGACTAGAGCCTGAAGGTAACAGATCTGAGAGAGCAGTGCAGCAGCAGTTGCTCTATAGACTCTGGGTTTCAGTGTTAAAGACTACTTTACAACTTGTTTCCTCCAGGTATTGAAATATGTTTTAATTTGTCACGCTCTCCTCAGCTAAACAACACCAACCACACTCCTTGTTTCTCTCTGCCAGTAGATTATAGGCGGCTCAGGCAATCAGAGCTGCTGTGTTGCCTGATAGAGGCTGAGCTGCCAATCACCAACACAACAGACTGGCATTGTCTGCAAGGAGCAATGTGACAGCAGCTATTGAAGCAGGTCAGACACAGTGGGTGTGAACAATGGCTGGAGGTGCAGCCACTGTAGCTTTTCCACTGAGAGATCCAGCTGTCTGAGCAGCCTCATCTCACCTGACTCAGCCCGGGGGAGCTTTTCATGCTCTCTGAAAGTTGGACTGAAAGTGCAGCTGAGCCGACAAGTAGCTCCACCAAAACACATCCATTAGCATTTCAGTTCAAATCTGGGTGAGAGCAGCAACATCTTGATGTCAAACACTCACCAGTCGAGGAAAATCAAATTAGACAAGTGTAGTGTCTGGAAATAACCCCCCAAAGGTTGGACAGAGTCCTCCTTCACAGCTGAAACATCAGCTGTGGAAACACGACTACTCAACCACCATCTAACTGATATCTGACAGGTTTCTCATGACGTATGAAGAAACGGAGGTAAAGCAGTAGCTTGTATTTACTACCAGAAGGCAATGAAGCAAAGAAAAACACATCACACAAAACTGTGTGCACAACTGAAATCTGCAAAATCGATGACATACACGGATGATGAATGACATTTACTTCCCTTTGTTTCGCTGCTGTCTGACAACAGTTTCCAAACCATCATGAGAAGAGATGAAAGTCTTTTCTGTTTCAACTTTCAATTTTCTCTTTCTATCATTTTCCCCTTTATGTAAACAGATGTCTGCTCTTTCTTTTGTTGGTTAGTATATTGTTTTTTTTTTTTTACTTTAAGAAAATGTTTTTTTTACTTATTTGTTGCTTAGGAAATACAGGATAGTTTACTTGTTTGTTTTTTTTAAATCTCTTGCGTAACTGCTTGTAGCTCTATAACATATACTGTGGGTGTCCAGAATAAACACTTCGCTTCATTTTGATGCGCCATAAGGTGGAAAGTTTAGGAACCATGGAATTAGATAAATCATGCGACCTCTTCAAGGTGTCCTGCCCCCCCCCCCCCCCCCCCCCAGGGTTGGAAACCGCTGCCCCACATGCAGGTCTAAATGTTTCCACAAAGGCTTGTATATAATTGTGTTGCGTCAATCCAAATAACACCAGAAGCAACCTTAAAAAACAAAAAGCTCTGATTGCAGTGTGTTTCGAGTTTTAAAACTTTTCTAAGACCCTTGGAAATGACAAATGTAAATTTCTAGAAGCACAGAGGACATGAGTGTCACAGAAATTAAATCCAGCAGACCACCTATCCACATAAAAGAAGTTGACACATTTTTTTCATCAAGTGAATCGAGGTCACCTGAGGCCGTCACAACACAGACGGAGAGCCCGTCTGAGCGCTGCTAAAAATAAAATTCACTGCGGATATAATCTTTTTTTTTTTTTCCCCACCGCACCAGACACTGAATTACATTACGGGACGCATTTCAAAAGGACACTGTTCAGACAGGATAGGACCAAGCTAATGAATTCAGAACAAACACATGCTTACCTGAAATAAATACACATCAGGAAGCAGGTCAGAAACACATTCGCTCGACTGTGTAGCTGCCCGACGGCGTGGCCACCTGCACCTCCTAACAGACCATTCACATGCTTAATGAGATCATACAGAGGATTATAGTATTCTGCAGAGATGCTGATAAGTGAAGCCTGCTCTGCACAGCCGTGAGCTTCCCAGTGAACCAATGAAAGCGGATGATCGGCAGACAGGAAAAATAAAAAAAGGTCAGCTTAGGAAAAGATGTAGTATGAGCCGGTTATCATCCTTCTGACCCAGTGGACTCACAAGTGCTCCCAAGATTCAAAAAACATATGCAAATGATTTTCTGTGAACCAATTTCATGCTTTGAGCTTTTTTTTTTTTTTTTTTTAAATTCTAGGTTGATTCTCAGCAGGAGGTTCCTTCCTTCCTCTTGATGGGAGAGAAGCCGCAAAGGAAACAGTAAGGCAGAGACAGCGTGGGTTTATTATTTATATGTATACGTGGTTATGAGTGTGTGTGATTACAAAACACTGCAGCTAATTCTAAAGAAGGTCGTATCACTGTTCACATTAATTTAGCAAACACGTCGCCTGTTGTAACTGCCATCGTTAAAACGTTAGAGACTGAGTATGTTTTGGTTTCTGCGGTCGTACGTGTTCGTTAAGACAAATCTTGAGCAGTGGCCGAGTCACAAACAACAACGACAAAATCAGAATTCAGCTCAGACATTCAACCACTCCCAGATCATGAAGGGAACTAGATTTAGGAGCAGAACATTTTGCATGGAACACATGAATGACCTTCAACTATTGCTTTAAAAATACACATCAACTGTCTTTAGGAAGTAGCCTTAAAGAGTCATGTTACCAAGAGAGTAACAAAGAGGCCTATATCTAATGATGTTCTTCTTGTAAATGAGAGAAGGTTTAATCTAAGCGATAGCTTGTGTTATTTTACCTGCTTTTTCTAATGAGCTGATCTGTTATTAACACCTGGTTGTAAATATCAATGTTAAAAGATTATTTTTAAATCATAGCCTGAGAGCTATCAAAATTGAGTTCCATCTGGGTTGTAACAAGTGTTTTTTTTCCCCCCACAAGTCTCAACGAACATACAAAAGACCTGTAAATACATTCAAATATGCGTGATGTAATTGGTAGATTCTAATAAAGCTTTTAAAAATGTGTGTGTTGTGTCAAATATCTTACCGTTGACACAGATCTCATATGGTGAGCACAGCTCGTTCTCAAACAGGCAACCTGTATGCAGAGAAACACAGACACAAACAAACTGGTTAGCTGGTTAACATGTAAATATACAGGCGGAGCGCGCAGCTGAGAGCGCCAAATCATTCTGAAAGAGCAACAGCCAATGGGAACAGCCCCACACTGGGCCGACCACTGGTATAACTTTATCATTCAGGCAGTCACTGACATTTGCAGAGGTGGTGCTGGGCCATAGTCGGACCAGCCACAAAGAAGCATATATGTGTATATAATAAATATATAGATGATAAGTAGCAGTAACAAACTGCATTGTAAAGGCTTTAAAACGGTATTAAAAAACGCATTTAATTTGTACGGAGAAACATTTCACTTCAACAGTTATTGCACATGACGGGCAGTGGTGGTGGTGGGGGGGTGGGCGGGGGCTTTCAAAGCACTTCATAATACTGGGCGTCACTGCCACCATTCTGTGGTCATTTTCACCGCTGGGCACAGAGATGACTCTTAATAATTACTGGCAGAGTGGGGACAGTTTGACACAGACAGGGACAGGCTGAGGGTGATGACACACACCCCTCCAGGTATCTGCTGGGGTCCATAAGCACTCTCCTCACCTCCTGTGCCTCTACAGCGAGCACATGGTTTGTTGTGGCCGCTTGTTCAGGAACTGGGACACTGTTTCACTGTTTCATTTTTTTTAATCCGATTTTTCAGTTTACCTCCATTGTATCTGGGTGGAGGCAGAAATCGAGAAGTTAGGCAGAAGTTAGGTACCACAAAACCTGGACAAATAAAACCAAACTAACTACATAGCAAAATACCATTTGGGGTGTGTTTATTTATTTATTTATTTATTTATTTATTTTGAACGGATGCTTTCATCATAACCCTGTTTCTGATGTTGAAGGAATACTTTCAAGATAGGTTTGTGCCTCTTCTATTTAAAGACTGCAATATGAAACGAAATGGCTCATTAAGACGTCACCTCTTGTGTTTTGGGCTGTTTTCTGTATTGCTACATTTGTCAGCAGTGCACAGTAAACACTTGCTGTTATCCTGAGTTCACAGTGGGTTGAGGGGGGAACAGGATGATGCATCAAACCTGCTCCCTCAGTGCTCCTCTGGGAGAGGAGGGGAGGCAGCTATATTTCATTTTCCTCCACTTACAGGAGATCCGGCAGCATGTCCTTTACAATCTATGTTCCTCTGTCTGTGTCTTACTCGCTCATACAAAAATACACTGTCCTACACATTTCCACTCCCCTTTGGATAATGGCGCTATTGAAAGTTGGGGATTAAAAAAAAAAAAAAAAGAAAACTTATTGCAATGCGTCATGGAGACAAATGCATGGCTGAAGAATGAAAGAAATAGACAACAGTTGCTAGAAGCAGGTGCAACCCTTGTGCAGTAAGTGTGCTCACTGCAGCTGCTACACAATAAAAGCCCTCCAGTGCAGAGAACTGATTGTTGCTGCTACAGATGAAGGTTGCTGAGGTTAGTCTGGGTTTAAGTGAGAATAAACATAGGTCTTAATCTCTACTGTTCTACTTCTACTACATCCTCTAGTCTGCCATACTATACGATACTATATACTACACTATACCATACTATACTATACTACACTATACCATTACTATACTATACTATACTACTACAGCTGCTTTCACCTCTCCTTCTACTACTTACACAGTAGCTTCTACTGTTGCCGCTGCTGCTACTACAGTACTACTACTGAATGTATACTAAGCTGCTACATCTACTACTACTCATAGTAGTACAACTCCCACTACTACTACTACTAACCTACTTCTACTACTTTCAATATGACTATTATTACTATCACTTCTACTACTAAACCCACTAATCTACTTGCAAGTACTAAATCTGCTATCTACTAAATTACTGCTTCTACTACTACTACAGTATCTATTAAACTACTCATTCTCCTACTGACCATACTACAGCTACTAAACTACTTCCTCTATTTACTTCTACTACTTCTACTAAGATTACTTCTACTACTACTATATCTATTGTTGCTACATCTACTCATGTACTTCTGCTACTTCTAAGACTACTACTGCTACTAATGTATTTGCTGCTTCATCTACCACTACTACTACTTCCTCTACTAAACTACTACTATGACTATTACTACTATTACTACTACTACTACTTCTACTGCTTGTCCTGCTACTATTACAGCTATTGCTACAATTACAACTTCAGCCTGTTCTGTCAACATACAAGTACTACTATTATAGCACTACTACAATTATTTCCATTCCTAATATACTATTAAGTACAAGTACTGCTACTACTAGTGCTTGTTCCAATACTTCTGGTATATACAAATTAGCATTTTAAAATGTTTATTTAGCTAAGCATGTACTAAAGATGATCGCAATCAATTGCATTCATAATATATGCACTCAGGTGGGTGCACACACACACACACACACACACTCACCACACACACACACAGGGCCACACACACACACACACACACACACACACACACACACACACACACACACATTAGGAAAATATGCCAAGGACTGTTACAGGCAGGGTGCCTCATAAAACGATGGGATACTGTAACCATGGCAACACTTGCCAGTCCCTGACTTTCTCTCCAGGGATCAAAGAGTGGCAGTGGTTACCTCCCCTCATCTCTCTCCCATCACTCTGTGAGCTCCTGTTTTCATTTTTTGGTCTAATTTTTTTTTTTTTTTTTTTTTTTAATCTTTGTACATCCGTTCCCTGGATGGTTTGCTATGCATGCATGCTCTGTGTTTAGCAACACAATTACACAGCTGCACACATTCACACCTGGGGGCTAACCACAAAAACAGCTTTTGGGCACCGAGCAACTCGACTGAAACAATTTTTGAGTAATTCAAGAGCACCCAAGCATCAGCAGTTAGGCTAGAGCAGAGCTGAGCTCATTATTCATCCACATCTACTGCCCAGACTTCTCCAGCTGAACACTTCTCTGTTACAAACCTGCTGGTGCGGCCCTCAGGGAGGTGATGACGCCAACAGTACCCAAAAACAGCACCTAAAGAACCAACATGGCCATTAAGGGAGTAGATAAAAGATGTCTGTCAATGTTAAACTGCTAAAGGACTGTGTCAGTGGTGGCTGCTATAGCGACAGAATTTCCAGCTGCTGCCAGGAGAATATTGACGCTAACTTAAAGCACAAGGTTTCTATCCTCTTTTAGTTGGTTAAATGTAGCCAAACTACCATGTGTCTTACATTACACAGATGTAATCAAAAGTAGGCTAGTCATTTCTAAATACTGTCCCTCTTGATGAAATGTCAATTGTCCCTAGCAGATTTGATCAGCTGTAGCTAGCTAGCGAGTAACGCTAACTCCTTGTCCTCTGACTTAATGTTTCCAGCTATAACTAACTAGAATTACCATTTTGTAGCTGTATGCCTCTGCCAACAACTCATGTAATATAGTGAAGGTAGTAGGTTTATTGTATCATAATTAGCATATGCATTCTTCAGTTATGGCCTAAAACCTGTTCGGTGAGGTAACAGCTGACTTTGACCTTTGACCACCAAATTCTAATCATCCTTGAGTCCAAGTGCATGTTTGTGCCAAATTTAAAGAAATTGATTCAAGGTGTTTCTGAAATATTGCGTTCAGGAGAATGGGATGGACAGGATGCATAAATACACGTTTTTAATATAAGGACATTAATATGAACAAGGTAGCTACATAATATAAATAGCTGAAAGAGTGTTCCATAGTTACACAGACCTATGCAGGGTGAAAGGTCAATATCCTAAGCAGATGTTATTGGCTGCGTGATTTTGTAATGTTCCAGCTGGCTCAAAAACCACATAAAAGGGTCTTAACTATGTACACAACGGCTACGTACGTAATATGCTAAAACACCGATGCTAAAGCTACATGTCAAGGACAAAAGTCAGTATCATCATCAGATGATGATTCATTTAAGGTTGACGTGGAAACACCAGTAAACAGGCTTGCTCCTGTACTGCAGTGTACAGCTTCTTAACCCTTGCACTACAGTAGGCTACAATTTTATTTAAAAAAAAATCTAATTAAAATATAACCCTGTGTGATGACTAGCACTCACTTGGAAATGCAACAGGCCTTTTCACAGCAGACATTTTAAAGTCAAAAAGCGCAGGTGCGACTAATAACATTGACAATGTTTCCTGTAATTAGGTGGAATCAGAGTCTCACCTGTCTGTCACTACAGTACATTTCTCTTGGATAATTGCAGAAAATCACTTATGTTTTCATATTGGCTGTTATGTTGCACCACACAGGTTTTAAATTGCAAAACAAAAATAAAACCACTTACACACACACCAGAGACTCCTGCCTCTAACCAAAAACCAACAGCAGTCGCTTTCACCTTTAAATCTGCACTTGCTTTCAAGCTTTCTGAGCAACATCTCACTTTTGTCAGTGCGACCTCATTTTTTGTTACCCAGTATACTGTCTGTAACGGGGACAATATCAGAGTGAAGTGATTTGCCATAAGCTTGTGTTGTTTGCTGGATATCCATTATGTTTCTGTTTTGGTGTAATGAAAGTGAGAATCACCCGAGGCTGTATTTGTTTACATCTCTGTGGAATAAAATAGGCAGTAATCACAGTAGTTTCCAGCAGACACATCCTTGTTAGAAGCAGAAACATGTAACACAGAGATGATGTTTACAAAGAGTCAGAGTTTCATTACAGCAGCTTTGGGGCATTCATGCAGCGTTTGGGCCAATTTCTCCAAAACAGCATAATAAAAGCAAAAATATACAAGCAAGGGAATACACGGAGGCTTCCAACAGGAAAGGGAATCATAACATTTGAATGCAAAATACTGCATACATATTTTGGCAAAATATGATTCCTGATATTCATTATCTAATATTTTATAAACACAGAAAAATTTGTAATTACATCCAGTGAAATTATTACTTGGTGAAGCGATCAAAGCAGCAGGTGTTACTGTTTACATAAGGACATTTATTGTCATAAGTTTAATAG